CCTTTTCAATCTCTAGTAAGTGCCCCTTTTCAACTACGTGAAATGCCCCTTTTTCACTTTTGATAAGTGCCCCCTTCATCTCCGATAGTCGCCCTATTCAAATCTGAGAGATACTCATTTTACTTTGATAAGTGCCCTCCCTTTCCTGATCAGTGCTCTTTTCATCTCTGATGAGTGTCCCATTTTGTCTCTAATAACTGCCACTTTTATTTGACACGTCCCCTTTTCTTCCTAATAAATGCTCTTTTTTCTGATTATAATGCCCCTTACCCTTCTCATAATACCCCCTTTCATCTCTAATAAGTGCCTTGTTTACTTTAACATGTGCCTCTTTTTTTTTTAATAAGAGCCACTTCCTCATTCTCATAATAGCCCCCTTTCACCTCCAATAAATGCCCCTATTAAAATCTGATCTGCACGTCCTTTTTGTCTCGCCTACGAGCAAAAAAGCGAGACATAGGCGCCGCTTTCCGGTGGCGGCGACGGCGTCAACATCAAAAACTTAACCTAAGGTTAAGTTTTTGAATTTTTGATATAATTTTCAAAGTTTAAGTTTTTGTCTCGCCTGCGTAGCAAAAAGCGAGGACATAGGCGCCAACATCAAAAACTAACGTAAGGTTAAGTTTTTGAATTTTTGATATAATTTTTAAAGTATAGGTTCTTAGTCAATGAAACTTTGACTATTGAGTAATCAAGTATCCCCAATCATGTGAGTAGAATTTCAGATCACAAAGTCAGATCGAAGGTCATTTCAGGTCAACAGGACTTGGACTATGTTGTAGCATCATCATCGAAAACTTAACCTAAGGTTAAGTTTTTGAATTTTTGATATAATTTTGAAAGTATAAGTTCTTAGTCAATGAACTTGGACTATAGGGTTATCAAGTCTCCCCAAACATGTGAGTAGAATTTCAGGTCACTAGTTAAGGTCAAAGGTCATTTAAGGTCAACAAACTTAGACTTTGTTGTGGCATCAACATCAAGATTTTCAAAATGCTTCTACGTTATTTTTCAACCGATTTTGATTCTGATGTTTCATATGATAGGGCTAGGAGGGAGATTCAAAACTTCTACACAGAATCGTGAAATTCATTATCTATGCTAATTTATGCTAATTTATTCAAAATCACAAAAAATGCTTCTTCTCCTTCATTTCTTGACCGATTTTGATTGGTTTGCTTTATCTGGTAGAGCTAACTTTGGTACACTATACACCGAATTTTGAAATTATTCTCCATTAATTAATTATGGTAATTTATGCAAATTTATTCCAAAAATAACAAAAATGGCTTCTTCTCCCTCATTTCTCGACCGATTTTGATTTGGTTTGCTTTATATCGTGGAGCTAGCTTGGTACACTAAACTTCTACACAGAATTTTGAGATTTTGCTCCATTGATTATTTCTGGTACTTTATGCAATGAAATGAAATCATGTCCCTTCCAGGGCATCAAATTTTTATTTTTGACTAGTTCAAAAGTATACCACATAAAATTTACAAATTTGTTGTTGCGAGATGCGGATGAGCGCTACGTCATTGACGTTCTGGTTTATCATTTCGAATTGCATAATGCAGGCGAGACCGCCGAGAGCGTTTCCCTTGTTTTAAAACTATTGCACTTTTTCCTTTTTTTTAAGTGCCCCTTTTCATATCTATTATCTGGTCAGTGCCCCTTTTCAGGCGCAATAAGACTAGTAGCTCTTTTCACCTTTGATAAATTCCCTTTTAACAATGATACATGCCTCTTTTCCTTTCCAATACCAAAGGGACCTATCCCCTTTTCATAAATGCCCCTATCAAAATCTGATGGGTGCCCCTATTCCGTTGAAAAATGCCATTTCCCATTCTCATAAGTGCCTTGTTTCATTCCTGGTGAGTGCATCTTTCTGTAGGTCTAAGAAGTGCCCCATTTTCACCTCTGATAATTACCCTTTTACATGACACATGCTCCTTTTCCTCTTATCCCTTTAGTGTCCCCATTTCCTCTCATCATAAACGCGCCCCTAATTTCAAGCGACTAAGAGTAACTTCCCCCAAAGCTCACTCGCATTTATAGATGACATATAACGTTACTTATCAAAGGTCTTTTCAGTCTTCCATTGTGAGAATGTGCTTATAATCCCATCAGGATTGGGTTTTTCCCTCTTAATAAGATGCAATTTTTTGTACTGCGACCTCACAAAACTTAAAATTGTCCTCGCTCGCAAATCAATTTTCAGACCATCACATCGAACTGATACTTAAGCAATATCTTGTATGGTATAAAGAGAAACAAATGTTGAAATCGTCCCTGATAATGTAATCACAATGTAGGGGTATATACCATTGTCTAAAAAATGGATATTTTCGCTTTGAGATTCCCTTTGTAGGTACCCTTTTTTTCCAGAAAGTGCCTATTTTGTTGGTCCCCCCCCCCCACACTGGAAGACGCTCCGCCACTCCTGGGGGGACACATCAGTCAATTGCGCGCACGAGGGGGGGGGGGGGGGGAGGGGTAATGTGCCCCCAAAGCTGAAATTGAAACTGGATTTGGTCAAACTCCCAATAGATAAATATTCACAATTCTCTTCAAGCAGTACGTGTAACTTCACCTTGCAAGCAGTGTTAATTTTTAATCACCTTGTATATTAGGCCTGTATTTCAGCTTAAATGTTTAGTGATTGTGGACAGGCGAAGCAGGGAAAATAGAAAATTTGGCCTTCATACACACAACCACACCAGTGACACCATGAAACAGAAAACACTATTACAATGATTACCGGTACTGAAACATAGTTTCAAACTACCAAGGAGAGGTAACCAGGAACAAGGTATAATACAATGATGCAATTTTACCCATGTTGTAGTAGTACATGGTAGTAGTATGGATATCCCGCCTCTTCTTTTATGCACATCCTTTCCACTGCTATCGCAAGCTTTAAAAAAAGTGCCTAATGTCTGCATAACTAAGCAAGGTAGGAGTTCATTAAAAACATGATGTAAAACATTAAGTATATCACCCAAAGCATCTCAATCTGACAGCACGATGTGGAGAAAAGTTAATGGTGCAGATAAATACACAAGAAATATGTTCATCGGCAGTCTAAGTCAAGCAATCATTTATAAAACTGAGGCTTTGCCAAGGCATCCATTTTAAGTATGCGTGTATAGGGCAAATAAGATGTAGTCAAGTACTCAAGTTACCACCTGTCAGCCAAGATCAAACTTTTGGAATATAAAAGTTTTGGGGAGGGGTCATCTTTTATCAATTTCTGTTTATTGATAATAATTATAACATTTGGGAATGGGCCTATGAGTATGATTTATATATTGTATAAAACAAGCAACTGTTCATAAAAGGTCTAATATACCTTGGTGCTTGTGTGGACCACGGAGCAACCATCACACTAAAGGATGTTGTATACTATCGTACAGTATTATTGTTTCTCTGGAAAAATTGTAATCATTGAGTCATAGGTAATTTTTTTTTTTTAAAGAAATCAGCATGTTGTTATGTGTTTTATAATAAGGGTGCAGGTCATGATACAATACATTCCCTGGAGAAAAAAATAGTGCTCAGATTTAGCATAAGTATGCTTGTTGATTTTTTTAAAGAAAAAAGTAATCTACAAATGGAAGTAGCAGATGAGGTCATTTGTGTTTAATATTTGACCGTCAATGTTATAATCTGTAAACATATTAGTTTGTTGTAAGAAAATGAATAAATTAAACATGTTTATTATCTTATTACAGTATTCCCTTCATTTCTTTTCTTTTAGTGTGCATATATGGTTGGATAATGGAATCATATGTGGAAAAAATCTGGAAACAGAACGCGAGAGTTCAGAGAGAGAGAGAGAGAGAGCAAAAGAGAAAGGAAAGGAAATGAGAGAACTGTTTAATGGTGAGAGATGTTGATGTCGGCGTGAAAATGAGAAATTTATAATGCAGTGAGATAGCGAGAGAGAGAAAAAAAAAGAAAATCCATCTTATAAATGCGTTAATTGCCTCGCCGCAATGCGGCTCGTGGGCGATGCTCTGCATCGTCATAGGGTCAAACGCCCCCCCCCCCCATTAGCAAAAAGCTAGATCCGCCCCCTGATAGGCCCTGACAATGAAATCTGGAGAACATACAGATTCACGAGGGCTGGACTACTCGGTCTCGTGGATCAAATAATAATAATGGAAGTTATTATTATAAAAGTATGTTTTTCTCTCTTGTTATGATAATTTGAAAAAAAACCTGTTAATTAGATTATATTAGTTTTAGCTTCAAACTGCTTGATATTAATATGCATGTGAGCACAAATAGCAGCAACTGCGGTAAGTGATATCTACGGTACTCCTTGAGCTGCGGTAAATAATCTTATTGTATATGCCACCTACTGGTTTTCCATAGACCTGTGCACAAATGCTGTTAAAAAAAATTCAATAGGATGGTGTACAAATGAATTATTATGCCATTCTTTTCACTTAACTTCACGTTATTCAATATCCGTGTCATTCAAACAATACAGGCAAACATTCCCTGATGTCATTAAGTTTACATCAATCTATCTTGCTTCTCTCCTTATAAACAAGCCATCTTCATTGGAATTCACATCCTGAATTCCAATGAAGATAGACACCTCTCTTGCATTGTACATGAAATATCCATCCACTGATCTCCGCACGAAGTACCCTCAATTTACGCACAGAAAGCTCACACTAACCCCTTACCCAAAACCACCCTGAAATGATGACAATATTTAAAAGATCAATTCATTTGTAATCAAGTGTGGATTTTAATTCATTTGATCCCTTGATAGTCTGGGTACGGTATACCGAAACAGGGGAGGGAGCAGCTTGTGGCGTGGAACCATAAGGACCAATGAGGTTCTTTTGGGACATAGTTAATATAAAATTACCAAGCTGAAACCTACCCTAATACCAGTCACAAATCAATGCTTAACCAAGTATTTGTTGCGTTTTTCTCAATCATGACTTGTTGAGTTTTGTGCAGAAGTGCTACAATCCATTGATGAGAATGTATATAGCGAGTAGTCCAAATCAGGAGGGTCGCAAACTCCTTCTCAACCTCCATTGTTACATCTTGATTCCTGAAGAGCCTAGTGATTTGAGATGAACTTGGGAGAAGTTCCCACATTGTTTTGGAGGCACACACTCCTTATGCTGACTGCTCCTCTTCAGCAACTACTACAGACAAGTCCACTTGCATCTTTGTAACCAATTCCAATAAGCCAGCTGTTCATGAATAAAATGTTAATTGAAAGAAGAAAAAAAATCCAATATTGTTACAAGCACTTTAAGATCTAAAGCTCACATCACAAGTATATTTCTTTTTCTTCTTTCTTGTTGTTTTTAATCTTCTAGTAATCTTCAAAGGGCTATTAGTTTTATAAATTCACTGTTTGCTCGACAGGAGTATATTCCTTATTTTCCGTGCCAACGAGAGATCCCAGATTTAAATATTACTTCTTATAATAATATAATAATAATAATAGGGTTCTTGTATAGCGCACATGTCAGTCAGATTTGACCTCCTGGCGCTCCCGATTATTACCCTGGCTTTAGCACGGCTGCCATACGGCGCTCTAGCATTCAAGGAATAAATTCCTACCAGGAAATGAAATGAAATGAAAATCCCATATGCCAAACATGTATTTAATACTAATATACTACATGTCTGAGTAAAAGATCTAATCAAATATTCCGACCATTGTTTTAAAGACCGTCAATACTACTGGGCCAGAAGGGATTAGACCACCCAGCCAGGTCACTGACAGGTGGCTATCTCATCAACTCAGCTCTCAACTAACATAAGAAAGAGAGGATCATGGGGACCAACAGGCACCAATTGGGGAAGTTTCTATATAGAGAGAGCAAGTAGCTACAAGTAGGACAGTGGGGCTTTAAGAATAGCAATTAGCATTCATAGAAATGTCACAGAATTACATTCTTAAACTTTAAGCTGTGAAAACCTCATTTTGATTTGAGTGTAACTTTTGAGTTATTAACAACCAAAAGTTTCCAGTGATTTGTTTTGTTTCACTTTTAGTACACAAACATATTTTTCTTTATCACACTTGCAGGTTCTGGGATATCTACCCCCAGGACAACAGGATATAGTCATATAAAGATAATTAGATCTTGTACTGCTAGGCTGCCCCCCCCCCTCCCCTCTATTATACGAGTGTGAAAAAAAAATACAATTATTTGTAGCCTCTTAATCACTAATCAAAATTTTGAACTTTAGTAAATGTTGTTTAAAGAATATATTGTGAAAACTGAGATGGATTGCAGGTGGCAAGGGTGTATTGGTTGAGAGTTGCAGGTAATAATTCATGCTCTACTATGAGCCAACTTACTTCACACACTATCATCTTGCAGCAGGGTAAGGTTTTTACAGAAATTTTAGAACTTGCAATGGGATGTACCGGTACTTAAATATCAACTTTATACAATAGCAGTATGTAGAAAGGAATTTAGGATAACCTGACTTTGGGTCTGCCAATGCTTAGCACAAGCTTTATTTCGTCAAGATATATGGTAATTGCTCAAGTTGTGATAGTGTTTTAGATTAGCTTTTAGGGTTAATATTACGTTTAGCTATGGATCCAGGATTAAGATTAAGAATTCATTTTGTGTTACAACATAACCACTAAACAATAGAGCATGTCGTAAAAATCAGGTACACGTTTCGCAAACTGGGGGTCAGCATATTTTTAGTTTACTAATACAAAGGAAGTTTTTTAAACTGCCAATGATGAGTATCAATACATACAGCTCCAACAGCACCTGGAAAATCTGATTGTACGACACTTGTTCCTCAAGACATTTGCTCAACATCAATTTCCTACACTATTATCCAAATACTTAACTTCATCCCTGGATCCAATACTAGACCTAACCTTAACCTCAATCCCAATTGCAACCCTCGGCCTAACCCTACACATTTGACAAATAAAGCCTTGAGCAGTCGTTGCAGGAGCAAATGTTGGGTCACTCGAAATGCCATGACACTGGACAGGCTCACTTGCTATGAATTTCTCTGTTTCTTTACCAGATTAAAAAAAAAACATTGTAATATTCATTATGAATTACCAGTCCATTGTGCTTTGCTCCTAATATGTCAGGCACAAGAGGCCATCGCTTTGAGGTAAGGGGCAGAACATCAAGACTGGAACCTCAAGGCACCCCATGATCTCTCAACAGGAAGCCCTCCTTTTCAATCCCTGGAACAGAATTATAAACAATGCAATATATTAACCAAATTTGAAAAAATAAATAGCACTATTTAATATTTCAGTTGTCTTCAACGTTTAGTTTTTCAGCAAAATTTGAAGGTCAATTTTTTTATTTTGTTTCGCTTGTCGTTCCTTTTCATGTATTGGACCCCCCCCCCCTTCCCCCTGCACATGAGCTTAAAATGTTAATCCTGAAAAGAGAAACACTTCAGCAACGTGTTAGTAGACATGTGGATTCATACATAGCCATCTCAGGAATACATACTTCTCAAACCAGCCCTTTGCATCCCTTCAGCTTGACCTTGACCTCACCTATTTCAAAATTTCGTTTTACTTGAAAAAACTAAACAGATCAAGTTAGATCAAAAGTAAATATGTTTACCTTCTTTTGTGGTGGTCTGTTTTCTCCAGGACATTCTTGTTTCAAGCACATACTCCAAGAAAGCAAGCATTTGGTACTGCATTAACTGCGACAAGTCTCTGTACATTCTCCTGTAAAAGAGGGGGGGGGGATTTAATTCTTAGAATAAAAGGAAATGAGCATGATCATTTAAACATTGATAAGCATTTGCAGAATTAACTGTTCTATTTTAATTTGGATTTTCTCTTTACAAAAAAGCCCTCCTTCATTATCTAACATTGAAATTTATATTCAATTTCTTGATCCAGATCTAGTTGATCTACAGTCTCTAGATGATCTAGATCCATGTCTCGTAACTGTTCATTCTATCAAATTAAAAAAAACGCAAAATAGATATGGACCTAGATCTATATATGACAGAGCAAACTTAATCGTGTTTACAGCAAACAAAAATTCAAAGATAGAGCCTAGAGTAGAGGCAAATTAGGCTAAGCAACAAAGAGTTAAGAAACACACAGGCACCAGTGGAGTCGGGCTAACTCGCCCCACGGGACATCTCGCCCCTGCCTCAAAGACTGGGGCGAGATGTCCCGACATGATTCATCGATCGAGAGATACTAATGCAATGCAATGTGTATATGTTTGTGCTCATTGTGACTTAATAATGCCATTTCCAACAATTTACTCACAGCTCGCAATTCGCATTGCCGCACGTACATTAAATGTGCGTTGTATCGACACGGACCACTGAAATTTGAGCAGTGTTTTTGAGTAAATTGTCCGAAATGCCATTTTTTTTTCATTTTACCTAAAGAGAAGTTAAAGATTGTCTTCAATAGTATCATTTAACACAATCCATTACAGATTGTGGTTGGAAATGGCAGTATTAAGTCACAATGAGCATGGTATCTCTCAATCGATGAATCATGTCGGGACATCTCGCCCCAGTCTTTGAGGCTGGGGCGAGATGTCCCGTGGGGTGAGTTAGCCCGGATTCGCACCACTATACGTACCCCTGTATACGATGTAGTATAGACTGATAATTTGGGGGGATCGTGTTTTAATTTGTTAGATAGCTATAAGACTCTGTACGACTACGAGTATCACATTCACAGGCAGGCACGGATCTCACGGGGGCGAGCGGGCCTTGGCCCTTCCCCCCCCCCCCCCCCCACCCGCAAAAAAAAAAAAAAAAAAAAGGGAAAGAAAGAAGAGGAAGAAGAAAGGGAAAGAAAGAAGAGGAAGGAGAAAAGAAAAGGGGGAAAAGAAGGAGATCGGGGGCCGAAAGGGCCTTGCCTCCAGCTGTAACCTCTCCCCCTCCCCCCATCAAAAAATAAAAGAGAAGGAAGGAAAGGGAAAGAAAAAAAGTAAAGAGGGATAAAGGGAAGGAAAAAAGAGGAAGAAGAAAAAAAGGGGGAAATCAGTTGCAATTGTAGTTCGGGGGGGGGGGGGGGGTGGGGGGGCAACGGCCCTTGCCTTTATATGCTCATCTGACCGTAATTAAATGCCTATACCCGTGAGCTTCTGGGGGTTCCACTCCTTGACCCCTGCAGGTTCTTCGCCTTAGACACCACGCCAATTTCAGCTCTACCTGATCGTAGATACCTCCTCCCCCTACCTACTTAGAGAAACGTTTAGCGGGGCCTGCATGTAAGAGTGGGGTGGTGCATATTTTATTGGCTACCCCCCCCCCCCCCCCCCCCCCGTTTTTGCTCATTTCGCCACTGCCGGTGTCACTATCACGTACCAATATTTGGTTTGCATAATTTTAAATTTGGGCCCCCCCCCTAAGAAATCCTGGATCAGCGCCTGTTCACAGGTAGTCCAATTATTTACTGGTCTGTAGGCCTATAGGCCTCAAATTTTCTACTTTCGTACTCGTCTATCTCGGTATCTGGTCCAAATTTTGGCGCTTGTTCACAACTCGTCTCATGTCAACTGTGACCATGCTTTTTAGTGTTAGCTATTAACTTTTTCTGACCCAACTATGAAAGTAGTATTCAACAGTTGGACCTAAAAGTAACAAAAAGCTTGGATCATTGATGCAGCTAGCACCAGTGAAGTGATCTGCCAGCTGCCTGTAGAACCTATACTCGCGTATCTAATTTTCAGAGAGGGTCTCGCCCGAAAGTTTGGGCCAAGGATCAAGGAGTGACTGGCAATCGAGCTGAAATATTTCTCACGACGATAAATAACAAATCAAAAGTTCGAGTGTAGATTACTCCTAAATTCATCAGATATAACCATTTTAAACCACTTCATAATGTACAGTCAAATCTGCAGATTCATATTATCGTTAGATATGTTTATAAATACGATTCAATTTACGAGATTTGAACGTAATTACAGCTGTACTCACCATCAAACTTTCAAAGAAAACCTCGAACTCTCACTCTGTGTGGGTGACGTCATACATTAAATATGCATACAGCGAAAGTCTTTTCTTCAGATCAGGCAATCGTACATAAAAACTTTCATCACAGATAGAAAATTTCTTATTAAAATAATGAGGATGATTACAGTTATCAATCATTATACCCAATTTGCATTCAAATAAGAAGGAGAATAGTGATACAGAGAATTAATTACCGCACGTAGGATTTCTGATAAGAATACACAAAGAACACAAAATGGAAAGGTGCCTGGAATAGAGGATAATATGGGCAGTCAAGCTCATGAATATTCATATTATGGGCGTTACCAACCATTGACATTTGCATACACAATCATTATTAATATATAATGGAAATGCGCTTTTCATTATATATTAAATAATGGAAATGCGCTTTTCATTATATATTATATAATGGAAATGTACTTTTCATTATATATTATATAATGGAAATACGCCTTTCATTATATATTATATAATTGAAATACGCCTTTCATTATATATTATATAATTGAAATGTGCTTTTCATTATATATTATATAATGGAAATACGCCTTTCATTATATATTATATAATTGAAATGTGCTTTTCATTATATATTATATAATGGAAATATGCTTTTCATTATATATTATATAATGGAAATGGGCTTTTCATTATATATTATATAATGGAAATACGCTTTTCATTATATATTATATATTGAAATGGCTTTTCATTATATATTATATAATGGAAATGTGCTTTTCATTATATATTATATAATGGAAATACACTTTTCATTATATATTATATAATGGAAATGGCTTTTCATTATATATTATATATTGGAAATACGCTTTTCATTATATATAAATAATGAAAGTGTGAATTGTAATTATTTATAAATAATGGCAATTATATATAAATAATGGAAATACGCTTTTCATTATATATAAATAATGAAAGTGTGAATTGTAATTATTTATAAATAATGAAACGTACTTTGTCATTATTTATAAATAATAAAAATGTGTTAAGAATTATATACAAATAAAAATGTACATTTTCTTGTATTATATGTAAATAATGGTTATTATTTGTTAAATAATGGTTATATAACATATAATTTGTCTAAATAATAGGTTTACAAACGGCGCCTCATATATATGGGGGCTAGAAATATACTTGTGTCATACATACATAGTCAAAGATATACAAAAAAATAGGGGGGGGGGTATTCTGTGGGGCTCCACAGTAGTTATAGCAGTGAGTACGGGACGGCCATAGGTTTTGTACACGAATTTTTTCGTACTTATACTATTTCTAATTGACTCGTGTACATTAACTTTGGAACGTTTACAACACCGTTGTATAGGTTGGATCAATATCTATTGTTCGATCAACTAAATAAAGGAACGTGTATTTACCCATACTGTGATCCTCGCATGGCAACACGGGGAAGCGTATTGCAGTCTATGTGTATAAAAGGTATTGACTTTGTATAGGTCTAGTTTCTTTTGTATTTGAATTACCTCTTTTCAACAATAGAACCGGTGTTTCTTATTGATCGTGTATTGAGTTTATGAACCTCTCAACAGCCTTTCGACAAATGAAGCTCGTTTTATTCCGCCCTGTTCGTACCGTCGAGTTCTTTGGACTTTCACACAACACTTTGATACTTATAGTCAGGGCTCAAATTAATTTTTTGTCCACGGGGGCTCTTCCCCCCCCCCCCCAAAAAAAAGAGCCCCCGTGAGCCTTCTCACGGGGGCTCTTTTAGTTCTGACGGGGACTCTTTTTTATACAAATATCCATTGAATTGGTACCTATGATACTCCTCAATTATGTGCTATTTCATCATTATCATTCCCATCAACATTTTCCCTCTTACAAATTTACAAGCTACATAGCTGTTACTGGTCTGTGATATAATATATACGCATACAACACTGACCTTTATGATGTCTTTAACGTGACATATCTTCTTCTCCCCTTGCAAACGAGAAAGAAAACAAGGTCATTAATAGGGATTAAGCGACAAAAATGATTGTGATTCAAATTGATGCGAATATTTGTTTGAATAAGCACTGCTATTCACCCGAATCTTCTTTGTAAAAACAACTTTTACAAATCTCAGCCATGCTTACTGAGTTGAGACGTTCCATTCAATGTAAAACATATTGACTTTGTATAGCTCTAGTTTCTTTTGTATTTGAATTACCTCTTTTCAACAATAGAACCGTTGTTTCTTATTGATCGTGTATTGAGTTTATGAACCTCTCAACAGCCTTTCGACAAATGAAGCTCGTTTTATTCCGCCTGTTCGTACCGTCGAGTTCTTTGGACTTTCACACAACACTTTGATACTTATAGTTCAGGGTTATGTTTGGACTCTCTCAAAACATCATCAAAATAGATTTGAATACACAGATAACAATTGCAATTTAGTCATGTTACTAGAGAACAGAGATAAAATATACAAAACATTTTAACTAGAGAAATAGAACCCAAGTCACATTATTGTATTTTTTCATCGGTAAACAAAAGTTAACACAATTGTACAGCAAACATACACGCCGTAAATCCGTAGTTTAGCGTCGTAACATGCCGTAACGCCGTATATAACGCCGTAACGCCGTATCGTTATATCCACAACGCATTTGACGGATCATTCATCTCTATGCTAAATCACAAGTTTTCTAGAGCACCACTCTCTTGTTGAGGTTTAACACTCTATTATTAACTCCGTAACTCTATTTCATACTTTCACCATCTCGACTCTATTTCAATCTCGACTCTATTTCCATACTTTCAACATCTCGACTCTATTTCACACTTTCACCATTTCGACTCTATTTCACACGTTCACCATCTCGACTTTATTCCATACTTTCATTAATCTCGACTCTATTTCCATACTTTCACCATCTCGACTCTATTTCCATACTTTCAACATCTCGACTCTATTTCATACTTTCACCATCTCGACTCTATTTCATTGTGATCCCTGCAAAAGAATAATTTTGTAGAAATTTGTACCCCCCCCCCCCTTTTTTTAATATATTGTATCAATACTGTATCAATACTGTATCTTTACTTTGGGTAGAGACTCTATGTCTCTGATAGAAAGCTACTGTAAGTACAGTATAGATCAGTCAGTATATTATGCAATCGAAGTGGGAAAGCATTTGCCCCTTTCCAGCTTAGAGGACACACAAACCCCGCCCAAAGAATGGAAGAGTCCAGGATACCATGTGAGGAGGGACCAAATGAGTGATTGTGATGCCCATGTGCCATTCCACGTCTTGACACTATAGCATCACAACCATCTATTGTTTCTCCTCGTGTTCTTTTATTTTAGGTAAGACAATATATTCCTACCTTTTTATATTTTGTTATTTTGTATAATATTATGATATTACACTCATTTAATTACAAGTTGCTTTTATATACCATGCATATAATTCTGGATAATAGGATGCGTTTTGGGAGATGGATATGTGAGAGTTGGATGAGTGCTTCAGTTGGTATTTTGGATAGAATCTATTACATCTGTGTCAAAATCAATGTTATTACAAACTAAAGCTAGTTGGTAATCATAAAGGTAATGCAGTATAGCATATAGAATGATTTGAGTAGTTTGGATACATTAATGCTGGAAATGTACATATCGATATACAGCTATATAAGTGGTGCCAGGTAAAAATGTCAGAGGAAAAAATGTCAGAGGTAAAAATGTCAGAGGTAAAAATGTCAGAGGGAAAAATGTCAGAGGTAAAAATGTCAGAGGTAAAAATGTCTGAGGTAAAAATGTCAGAGGAAAAAATGTCAGAGGTAAAAATGTCAGAGGTAAAAATGTCAGAGGAAAAAATGTCAGAGGAAAAAATGTCAGAGGTAAAAATGTCAGAGGAAAAAATGTCAGAGGTAAAAATGTCAGAGGTAAAAATGTCAGAGGTAAAAATGTCTGAGGTAAAAATGTCAGAGGTAAAAATGTCAAAGGTAAAAATGTCAGAGGAAAAAATGTCAGAAGTACAAGCAAAATAAATGAGTGCCGTCATAATATCTCAGCACTTTTATCACACAGAATGTCGAGACGTACAGCTACTGCATGGGCTAGTCTATTATATTCCTTTCTTCCATAATGTAAATTTTATAAATGGCTGTGTGTTGTATTTGGTACATGTCCTGAGGATAATAAAATGTGGAAAATAGATTTTGAATTTTTTTTTTGTGATCAAGCTTGCATATATATGTATGAATGTCTAACATGTTTTGATATTTTGAATTGGTTGATGTGTTAATGTTTGTGAAACGGACCGGTTTGGCGGTGGGAGCCTACAACCTAGCCCGTGTAACGTTCCAGAGACGAACAGAGTCCAAACGAAGAAATGAAAGTTCTCGACAAAAGTCAATTAAGAGTTAAAGTGAGTAGTGCATTTAGTACAAATAATTACATATAATCACGAGGAATCACGAAAAGTTACATATATGGGCTGGGCGCCCCGAACTCTGCTAAAGCTTTAGCACCTCATGGCGGCAAAGGAAGTGGAGTAAGAATAAGAAAATGAAGAAGTCGCTCCGAAAACTAAAAACCCGCTCCAAAAAGTAAAAGACCGTCTCGATTCAGAAGCTCATCCCCAGGCGTGTCACTACGATGCATTGCGTCAAATTAATCCCCGGCACCATACACACCCATGTCGAAAGGAACTTTATTAATTTTGCGAACTTAACCTCCAGAGTTGAGCTTTCCGGCCCGCAATACTCATCGGCCTCGTAACTTACATAACTCTCACATTTGTGCTGTTTCGATCTTTAACTCTTTCACTCGACATCTTTATTAAATCCGAAGAACGCAAACGGGCCGGAAATATAACAATCCTGGAGGCAATTATTTGAATGATAATCGGAGCATGCATTGACAAACCTACGAACTCGCACAGAAACATTCTGAGATACCGGGCACAACAGTCCTATAGTACTACCCCCCCCCCCCCCCCTCAAAAAAAGAAAATTGTTTACTCCATTAACTATTCGTTGAATATAACCCAATTTACACCCCTCTTTCT